GTGATTTCCTGCTTTCTGTCTCTCTGTCTCTCTCTGTCTGTCTGGCGAGTGCACGCACCCTATAGCAAAAACCTCTCAAAAAAAAAAAAAAGAAACAATTTCAACCAAGATTATACTTCAAATGGGAAGAAAAGATAAAAAGAAACATTCTAAGATAAACAAAACCTGAAAGAATTTACCAACACAAGACCAGCTCTTCACGAAATTCTGAAGGGAGACTCCCAAAACACTCAGACAAGGTAGGATGACCTCTGTTCTCTCTCTGTCTGTCTGTCCATCTCTCTCTTTAAATGTTTATTTATTTATTTTTAAATTTTTAAACCATTTCTTCACATCTCAGGCCTTTTCTTTCTCGTGCCAATTTCAGAAGCCATTTTAAATTTAAGATGTGTCCTGGTGTCTTTGCATGGCACGCTGTGGTTTCTATTTTTGACTTTCTAAAATGATTTTTTTCTCTTTTTTGGTTGTTTTTGTCTCTTTTTTTCTCTTTTTTTCTTTTCTTTTTGTCTTTTATTTTTTTTATCCTCACTTTCCCACTCTGCTCTTCAGTCTCTACATACTGAGTGTCTAGACAGGCCTAGGTGCACAGTAGCCAAGCGTCTGACTACTTTTAGGGTAATTGAAATCCTCAACAGTTATTGAACCTCCTGCTTTGAGGAAGAAACTTCTTTTTATAAATCTGAACTCATCATCTCTTTCTGTTGATACTACATTGTAAAACACAGTAGAGGAGAGATTATGTCACAGAATGACCAGAAATCACCACAGAGGCCCAAGAAATGTGAGAAACCAAGAAGATATCTCTCCCCTGAGGGAAAAGAACAATTCTTTATCATCCACAGACAGTACAGTGAAACTCGTAGAAATGTCTGATAGAGAATTCAGAATAGTCATAGTGACAAAACTAAACTAGATGCCAAGAGCTGAGAGACAATGAACTTCAGAAGATGCAAGAGAAAAGAGACAACGAGTTCCAGGAGGTGAGTAAGTTCTTGCACGATCTGAAAAGAATCAAATGGAGTTATTAGAGAAATGAGGTCTGTAACACAGGAAATCAAAACCTCCCCAAAAGTATTAAAAGCAGATTAGTTCATGCAGAAGATCAAATCTCTGATATTGAAGGCAAAACCTCTGATCTAGAAAAAACAACCAAAAACACTGAGAAAATAACCAGAAAAAAATGAGAATACTATATGAGAAATACTAGACACCATTAAGCACCCAAACATCTGGATAATTGGAAGGTGAAGAAACTAATAAGGGCATTGATTATCCCATGAAATCCTGGGAGAAAATCTTCCAAATCTAGAGAGGCATTCAAATATCCAGACCCAAGAAATACAAAGGACCCTAATAGAATCAACTCAAGAATATCTTCTCCAAGGCACATCATAGCCAGATTGGCCAAATCCACAAAGATAAGATACTAAAATTGGCAAGAGAGAAACGTCAGGTTCCTTATAAAGGTTATTATTTCATCAGGCTAACATCAGACCTCTCATGTGAAACAATGCAAGCAAGGAAAGAATGGTAAAATATATTCAAAGTGTTAAGTGAAAAACAGTTTCAACCTAGAATACTATAACCGGCAAGATTATCCTTCATATGGGAAGAAAAGATAAAAACATTCTCAGATAAACAAAACCTGAAAAAATTTACCAACACCAGACCAGCTCTTCAAGAAGTTCCTAAAGGAGTGCTTTACCAGGAAATCTAAAGACATACATACAAAAATAAGAACAAAAAGCAACCAAGAAAATTACCAACTTAATGCTAGGGACAAGAAATATCAATAATAATGTTGAATGTTAACTTACAGGAATTAAACAGAAAGACTGGACAATAGTAACACTGCAAATTAACAGAAGAAAGATTAATTACATAAGACTGAACTGGTGAAATAGAATTTATGACTTGAGTAAAACAA